TTCGGTGACTTGTCCCCCGCCCTTTACTCGGCCCCCCGCCCTTCTTTGCGCGCGTTTCCTACCCCTCGCGTCCTGGGTTCTCGGATGGATTGCCGGCGTCTGTTTTTCGTTTGGCTTGCCAATTGAACGGCGCGCGCGCGCGAGTCGGCGGGTCGGGCGGTCTTTCCCGCGGGGAGGGGGGTTTGGCGCCCGGAGGGCTGGTGGGATTTCGATGACGTCTCGGGCTCTGCTGCAGGTGCCAGGCGTTTCGCTCGTGTAGCCCCGTCCGCATCCTCATCCTCGGCGAATCCCTAGATTCCCGATGTCTTCAGCTTCATTTCTTTCTCAGCCTCGTCTCGTCCATGTCCTCATATTCATCCTCGCCCCCATGCCCAACCCCCTCCTCGCCCCTCGCCCGCCCCCGTCCCGTCCCACATCCCGCCCCTAATCTAGGCGCCATGGGGGCTGATTGAGCCGCGCGAAAGCCCGACCCTGGATGGCAGGGCTGGGGGGGGGGGGCGCCGCCATGGTCAAACGTCCGTGGGCCTTTGGCATCCCAGTCGTCAGCCTCCTCTGAGAATCCCCCCCCTCTTCCGCCTCCTCCTCCTCCTCCCTCTTCTACCATCGGCTCCATCTCGCCCCCATCCTCGCCCGCGTCCCACTCCGCATCCCCGTCCTCAGCCAAATGTCGTACCCCTTTCACCATCAGCTTCGTCCTCGTTCCCATCTTGGCCCTCGCCCCCGTCCCCATCTCCCTCCTCGCCCCTCGCCCCCGTCTCCGCCCTGCCCCCAGTCCCGGCATCTTTTGCTCAGGCAACTTCGCCTCCGCTCCCTTCCCGCGCCGTTCGCCCGGCGGCGACGCGCTGCGCTGGCGTCTTGCCGTCGACCTGCGTTGGCTGAGGGCGACGGAAAAATCGGCGGGGAGATGTGCGGGCGCTGGATGCGGGTGCTCTCGGGGCCTCCGTGAGGCTCTCTTGTGGCGCCTTTCGCGGGGTCCTATCAATGTCTTCATGCTCGTTCTTCCTCCTCCTCCTCTTCGTCCGCGTGCCCGACCTCGGCCGAATTCTTTTCTTCTTCCGCATCCTCGTCCCCGCCCTCATCTTCCCCCTGTTCCTCGAGCCTCTTCCCTGTCCTCATTCCTGCTTGTTCTCGTCCCCGTGCGGCCCGCGCGCGTCCTCAGGGCGGTCGCCCTTCTGGCCCTCGTCCTCGCCGTCCCCGGCAATGGCTGGCGCGGTGCCTTGGCCGCCCCCTGGGCGGGGCTGCGCATCTCCCCGAGGATGGTCGCTGACCCTTGCGGGGGCGGCCCGCCCCATTCGATCCATTTAAGTTCTGATCCTCGAGATCCCCTGAAAATGACCCCTCCGTCTTCCTCGTCCTACTCGCCCATGCCCCTCTCGACCTCCTCCCCCTCCTCCTCTTCCGTCTCCTCCCCGTCGTCGCCCTCGCCCCAACCTTTAGTCCTTGTCCAATGGCCGACGCGGTGCCGTGGCCGCCCCCTGGGCAGGTTCCGAGATGGCTCGCTGACATTTTTCATGGATGGCCGCCTGCCCCTCCGCCCCCCGCTCTATATGGAAACCGATTCTCGAACTCCCATGGGCGCCCCCCCCCGCCGTCTTTTCCCCGTCCTGCGCGCTTGCTTCCTCCATGACCACCTGCTGCTTTTCTGTCGCCCTCTCTTTGTTCCCGTGCTCATCCTTGTCCTCGCCCTCCTCCTGTTGTTCCTGTGCCCCGTCCATTCGTCGCCTCTGTTCGTGGCCGTGCTTCTCGCCCCCCCCCGGTCCTCGGCCCCGCCTCTCTGCGCGTGGGTGCGGAGGCCGTCTCCGCCCAGTCCCTGCGACGCCGCCGCTCCTCCTTTTCCTCGTCTCGTCTCTTCCAGCTCTTCGCCCCGCCCCCCCATCGTTCGCTCTGCCCTTGTCTGCGCGGCTGCTTTTGAGCGCGCGCGCGCTGGCTTCTGCCTCCGCGCCTTCGGCGCTGGCGCTTCGGGCAGCGCGGTCTTCGGCCGCGAGGGCCCCGCGGCTGGGGGCGGGGGGGGGGGGGCGGCGCCGCTGGAGAGTTGGGCGCTTGTTTCGGATGCGACAGGGGGGGGGGGGTCAGTCCGAGAAGGACTGAAAGGGGGACTTCGAATTTCTCGAGCGGCCGCGCTGGTGTTGCGAGGGCGTCCCGAGCGGCGCCGCCAGGATTGCGGTGTCGTCTCGAGCGGCGGCGCCAGAGTTTCGAGGGCGTCGCGCGGGGCGGCGCCAGAGCGGCGCGAATTACGGCGCATGTCCTGGTGCAGATTAGCGAGCGTATATAATGGCCTTCAGTCCATTCCGCCTCCGCGCCCGGGGGTGCGCTTCGCTTTCGGTGGCCTCTCAGGGGCAGTCGGGCTGGGGGCTTGTCGGGCACCCTTTGGTGGCCTCTCATCCAGCCGCGCGCGACGCCTCAGTCCCCCGATCGCCCCGAGCACCCCGACCCCGGAATAGCAGCGGCCGCGCTGGTCCACGTGCGCGCGCGGTGCCACAACAGAGGGGCTCGGCCAGATGTAGTGCGCAGATGAAGCGCTGCGCGCCGCCTCGTTCCGTCTCCCTGCGCTGGGGGGTCGCGCGGGCGGCGCCGGGGTGCCTCCAGTGGGGGTGGGCGACTTTGCCTCGCCCGGCCGTGGCCGCGGCTGCCTCCGCGGCGGGCGCCGCGCGAGGCGCCCTTGGTGTTGCCCGGCCTGTGCCGGGCAGCGCTGACCCCCCCCCGCTGGCGGCTCCGCGCTCAGCGCGCGCCGTCAGGCTCTTTCCCGGCGGGGCAGCGGTGATCCCGCAGAGGGCTATCCCCACCCGGCCGCAGGGTGCCATGGGCGGCGAGTTTTTTTGGGCAATTTCGCGGCGGATGCAGCGGCGCGCCATCGGCGCCGCCAGCGACGTGCATGCTGGCCAAGCTCATGAAGGGCGTCGCCTGGATTGGCATCTCGCCGCACTTCGCAGCCCCTGAGCGCGGCGATATTTTTTCCGGGGGCTGGCGGGGTGGAGCGACGACCCAGAGAATATTTGCTGTGGCGAGCAAGTATCTGGAGTTTCAGCGTTTGCCGCGATGTACTTTCGGTCGAGCTTGTTGTTCTTGTGTCGCAGTCCCCGTGCTCAAGTGAATGCCCTTGCGTCTGGTGCGTTGGGGCCATTGTTGCTGCTTGGCGCCTTTCTAGTTTCGTGAGTGACTCCCGGGCGTCGCTGGATGGACATCGACGACGTCGCTACTTGCCGCGCGGTGCTTTGGCCCAGAGTGCCTCTCTTTGAATGGGTCATGCCCCTGGGCCCGTAGAGCGGGATTGGTGCAGCTCGACGTCGCCGCCCATGCTGTTCGATCCTGTGATGATGGTGAAAGTCTGCTACGTGGCGGTGGCGGACTGCCCCCGCCGTCCTTGCCCAGGCTGGGCTTGGAGCCTCCCTGCTGTCGACCGTCCAGCCTTTCGCTTTTTAGCTGTCTCACCTCTGGCTTCACCCTTCTCGCTTCGTCTTTCCTTGCCCCCCGTCCAACCCTGCTTCTCCGCTGCCGTCTAGGGCCATGGCCAGGGCGCCCCGGAAAAGAGCGATCGACGATGCGATCCGAGCCGGTCCTCGATCGACATAGTTGATAGCGAAGCTACGGCTCCACGGACGCTAGCGCGCGCGGGGATCCCTGATCGGGCGATCGTCATCGGCCATGACGTCTGCCATCTTCGAGGGATCCAGTGTGAAGGCCTGCCCAGTTGCCGGTCCATCGCAAAGCTGGGGGAGCTACGCAGAAGTCCGGCAAGCATGGCATTTGAGCACTGAGCTGAGAGCAACGACTGTCGGCCCCCACGTAAAGTCCAGAGGTTTCTCCGTGAACAGCACTTTTAATAACCAAGCCAAACTGTTAGACGTGAGCCGTCTTATTAGCGACCCCGTGTGCGAAACCGGAGCAACTGGGAAGTCGGGTTTGAATTGCCTGGTAGAGTTTCTGCGAACAGAAAACAGAACAGAAGGCGACGTAGCAAATATCATCCGTTTCGCTTCTTGCCTGGAGTTGAAACGCGGGCATCAGAAAGTAGAAGACCGCGCGAACGAGTCGTTGCGCCTGCTACAGGAAGTAGACCAGGACATGTTCGTCGAAATGAAAGGTTTTGTGATATCGTTGATTTTGATCATCAACGCACAGCTAACGTAACGATAACTGAGCAACTTGTCGACGAGACTCGGCGTGGACGCCGCTCTGATTTTCGCTGAGACCAAAAGTGCGATCCTGAAAGTGCTCGGAGACAACCATTTGGCCAATGCGGCGGAACACCAGGGCCGCGAAGCCTGGGGGGGCTGGCCTTCTGAGGGCTTTGACCAAGACTGGAGCGAGCAAAGCTAGCGGGAAGCTAGTTGGACAGAAGACGCAAACTTCGGCCAAAAAGGCTGTTTGCGGTGTGGCAGTCCAATCCACTGGGTCGACAAGTGCCCGCGCCCGCCGAGAGGCAAAGGCAAGGGCATTGACGAGGGTGAGACAGGCAGAACGACTTTAGGAAACGGCAAAGTTAACTGGTCCAAGGGCCAGGCGAGCGGACAGCCGAAGCTCGCGACAAGCAAAACTAAAAGCATCAAGAGCAACGGCAATTCCCACGCAGGGAAGAGCCATGCAAACGGAAATCGTCATTCGCTTTCGCCGCCGACGAGTGGGAAAGCTGGACTGGCGGTTAGTCCGAGAGCCCTGACTGGGCCACAACGTACCTGACCTACGCGCAACGCCAGGACCCGGATGCGTCCGCAGTCCTCGCGTGGTCGTTAATGGCTGCTTCTGTGTCTGGACCGCCCTGCTCGGGTTTCCCTGCTGGTGGCAAAGACAGCGGCCAAATTGCATCGTCGTCCACGGCTGCCTCCTCGTCTGGACCGCTGTGCTGGAGCTTCCCGGCCGGTGGAAAAGACAGCAGCCCGGCGACGCCCTCTGGGCCGCCGTGCTGGAGCTTCCCAGCCAGTGGAAAGGATGGCGTTTGCATCTTGTCCGTAGTGCCGCATATGGCTGCCCGCAGCGACGGTTGTCCAGGACGCGTCGTTCAGGTGTGCTGCTGTGGCAAAATCATGTCGCAGTGCGAGTGCATGTGCCGCGCGGAGTGCGGCAGCGCGTTCTTTGCGTGCGAGCCGTGCACCCCAATGGACTTGAAGCTCTGCGAACCGTGTCGGTGCCTGGGCCTTGCCCCTGCGCAACGCGGAAGCGGCGGTTGCGGCGGCGAAGACGAACGCGACTCTGAGTGCGACCGCGACGACAGCGACGACTATGACGACGGGTGCGGCACCGCGGTTAAAGGAGAAGGGCGCAGCAGCAGCGGCAGCCTTGCCCGCGACGTGGTAGAAGACGGCATGCACGCAGACATCGCTGACCACGAGGCCATCGTAGACTCAGGTCGCTCAAAGGGCATGGTCAGCAAGAAACGGTTAGAAAACTTCAAAACCTTGCTTCGGCAGGAGTACCCCGAGCTGTACGTGGGCGAAAGACAGTCGAACGCGAAGTGCCAGTTCTCTGGGGGCGCCCGAAAACGGCAGAAGCCGTTGCAACCGTATCTGTCCAACACCTGTATGCAACCACAGAGTTCGAAGTGCTGAACACCGGCCCCGAACAGGCAAAGGACGCGGTTTTCTTGGGCAAGCCGTGGCTCAAGAATTTGTCAGGCGTGATCGACTTCGAAAAAGACACCATGCATTCGAATACCACAGTCACTACCGTCAAACTGAAAACTTCGAGTGCGGGACACTACCTGTTTCCTCTCATGTTGCTCTGCAGTGTTGCCTCAGTTGCAACAGAATCACCTGACTGCGATTTTGCGCGTGTTAGCGACGCAACTGCTTTCGACATGGTGACTGTTCAAGAACGCCCGAGGGCCTTCGCTGTCTCTCTCCCGCCGCGGCTGGAGAAGCTTCGCGGCGAGCTTCAGTCGGAGTCTGGTCTCGAACGGGTGCGCGACGAGCTCGCGCACCCTACCGCGGACCAGTTGATGCGACGCATCTCTCCGGCGTTGCTTTCCGAGATAGTGCCGCGGTTTAGAAAACTTGCCGAGGAAGCCGCGAAGTGCAACAGGGTCTGCGACAAGTTCCGTAAACCACGCGCGCGCCCAAAGATGTCTGGCATGTTTGCCAGAAACGTAAACGACCTCGTGTGCATTGACTCCTTTGAAGTGTCCGCGTGCGGAGGCCAGCACATATTCCATCACATGGCCGATTCTTCCTCAAAGTGGTCGATTGTGGAGTTTACGTCCACCCGGGGACCTTGGGGCGCTTGCTATTTTCTCCAGGTGGCAGTCGGTCTACGGGTGTCTCCCACGCAGTGTTCTCGCGGACAACGGCGGCGAGTATCACAACAAGGAGGTCGAACAATTCTTGATGCATCGCGGCGCGAGGCTTTTTTGGATTCCTCCTCGCGCTCCCGCCTCCGCTGGGCTAGTAGAGCGCCGCAGCGGTGTGCCCAGAGTGGTCTTCTACAAGCTCGCCGAAAGCTTCGAGACCGAATTGGGCAATGGCACTCTCGCGCCGACGGACGTCGCGCTCCAGGCGTGCTCTGCCAAGAACAGCCTTGTTCGTAGGTGTGGCTTCTCCGTGCAGTTCCCCGCCCTTGGCAGCAACCACTTTCTCGACCAGGTCGATGAGTGTGGACCTCCACAGCTGCAGGCGCTCAGAACAGACGTCGCTACCCGCGCCCGCGCCAGACTGTCTCTCCGTCGTGCTGCTCGGGCAGTCGCCGTGCAGATCCAGACTGGTTCCGAGCTTCGTGACCTCTTGAACTCCCGTCTTGCGGGCGCAACCGGCCCCCTCGACGCGGATTGCGTCGCAGATGGCGCCCCGAAGGTAAAAACGGCCGGAACCGCTTGGAAAGGACTTGCCGTAGTGCTCGGCATGGAAGGGGCCCAAAACGCGTGGCTTAGAACTCCCGATGGCAAGGCCGCAGCTGTCCACAGGCGCAGGGTTAGACCGATGGAAAACAGAGGGCCTCTGGAGCTACGAGGGCAAGCGGGGCCACAGCTCCAGCCGCTGGGGCAACCGCGACCACCCGCAACCAGGCAAGAAAGCAGCGCTTCAACGGTACCGCGCGTAAACGAAGAGCCGCGGGACGGCGATTCTGCGCCGGCACCTCCGCCGCAAGCTCCACCTCCGTACCTCCCCCATGCTGCCTCGGCACGTCCAGCCCCTGCTGGCGTTCCAGGACCTGCGCGCTTGGGTTTGCCGGCCGCGGGGAATGGGCTTTCGGCGTCTACAGGCGTGCTGCCGCCGCCTCCTTCCGCCCCTCCGGCGTTCCCGCAGCGGCGCGCGCCGACCTCCGGCGCCGTTTCCGCACCGCCACCGGCGCAAGCTGCTCGCGGACCTGCGCGCCGGCGCAGGCCCAAATCTGCCCCGGGAGCAGGAGGGGCAGGCAATGGCAAAAGAGGAGAAGGAGGAGGACCAGGAAAAGGAGGAGGCACAGGAGGAACAGGAGCTTCGTTTTCATCCGCGGCCAGGCGCGCAGGAACGAAGCGAGAAGCGTCCCAAGACGTCGCCGATGACCAGCCCGTGACGACGAGCTGATAATTTGGACGATTCGTTCCCTACCTAGGCTCTGCCTAGAGGGTTCTTATTTTCTTGGCTTCAAGGGCCCGGCAGTGGGGACCGGCCCGGGCGGTTCCCACAGTGTCCGCCCCGCGGTTCCCCCAGTTGCGTCCCCTTAGCTTAGCGTTGTTTATTTCAGCTTAGCTTAGATTAGCTTAGCTTAACTTAGCTTAGCTTACCTTACCTTACCTTAGCCTAGCCCAGCTTAGCTTAGCTTTAGTTTAGCTTAGCTTAGCTTAGCCTAGCTTAGCCTAGCTTCGCTTAGCTTAGCTTAGCTTAGCTCAGCTCAGCTTAGCGCAGCGCAGCGCAGCATTAACATAACATAGCATATCATAGCATAGCATATCATATCGTAGCATAGCGTAGCACATCATAGCAACGCGCAGCATCGCATTTCGCAGCATCTCTTGCCATAACATAACATAACATATCATAGCGCAGCATACCATATCATACCATATCATGTCATAGCATATCATAGCATACCAGAACCTAGCGTAACACAGCGCAGCATATCATATCATATCATAGCAGAGCATAGCGTAACGCAGCATAACATAGTACGCCATATCTTAGCGCAGCATATGCTAGCATATCATAGCGCAGCATAACATCGCATAACATAGCATAGCGCAGCATCTCATATCGTAGCATAGCCTCGCATATCATAGCGTGTCACAGCATAGCATAACATAGCATAGCATAGCGTCGCGCAGCATAGCATAGCATATTATAGCATAGCATAGCATAGCGCAGCATAACATAGCATATTGTAGCCTAGCATAACACAGCGCAGCCGAGCGTCCCGTAGCATAGCATAGCGTAGCACAGCATAGCGCAGCATAGCAAATCATATCATAGCATAGCATATCATAGCGCATCATAGCATATCATAACATATCATAGGAGCAAAGCAAAGGCAAAACAACAGCAGCAACAGCAAAGCAACGACTATAAGTCGTTAGTGTAGCTGTCGGTGTAGATGTAGATGTTGCTCTCCTAGATGCTCCAACTCCTAGGTAGGGTCGCGCTGGGATAAATTTTCACAGTGCCTGAACAGTGGTGTGGCTACGCTGCCGTCCGCGAGGTGTGCCGCTCCTGCCCGGCAGACGCCGCCGTCGTAGACGAGTCTGTCCTGGGCGCTCTCGTGGCAGCTAAGACCATGAAGCGTGCGAAAGAGATTCCTTCTCGAACCGCTGAATCACATCTTGTTTTTGAAGCACCGCGTCTGTTTCTGAAAACTTCGACGAAGTGCGTCTGCAGCCCGGGACTGCTGCCGTTCTTTCCAGGTTCGTGTGCGCAGCCAAGGAAGGAGAGGCTAAAGCACGCTTGGTGGCGCGGGGCCGTTTTGAACCAGGTGCTGAAAATGACGTCTTCGATCCCCCTGCATTCAGCAGAAACTCTGTCATAATTCTGTTGTGGTTGGCTGCTTTGCACGGATGGGCGCCAGAAGCGTGAGGCGTGCGAAAAGCGTTCCTGCAAGCCGAGACCGACGCCGATCCACGCTGCGACAATTCGCCCGTCTTCTTTATGCCACCCAAGCGCGTGCCAATCCGGCTTGGATTCGCATGGAGCTTGCGCATGGGGAAAACGTTGTGCGGTCTCCGCAGGGCGCCGCGTGCGTGGTTCTTCCACGTTCGCCGTCTTTTCCTGGAGCGCGGCTTCCAGCAGTCCATTTGGGGCCCCTGTGTGTTTCTTCACTTCGAAGACGGCCGCCTCGCTGGTTCTGTCGGGCTCCGCGTCGACGAGTCCTGTTGGCAGGGGAAGGGGCGTTTTGGGATGTCATCGACTCGCTACCCCTCCTCCGGTGGGTGGCCCAACAGAAGGGCGACTTCACGTTCTGCGCGTTGCGCATCTTCGTAAAACTTTCATGGGTCTCTCTAGATCAGAAGGAGTGCTGCCGCTCCCCGGCGTTGATTTTCGCTCCGCCCCGCCGCTTCCGACGCCCCGGCGCCCCCGTAACAGAGCCGGAGCGTGCCGCGGTGCGAGCTGCCCTCGGCGAGCAGATCTGGCGCGCAGATCAGAGCTGCCCTCGTGGCGCCTTCGCTTCTTGCGTCCAGAGTGCAGCCTGCAACGGTGTCCGCCCTCCTCGAAGCCGACAAGAACGCTGGAAGACTTAGGGGGACGATGTGGTTTTGTATTTTGGGCCGATGGATCGCTCGAGAATCTGCGCGTGCACCTGCGGCGACTCGTCCAAGGCAAGCCCCCGCAGCGAGGCGTGGCCGCTGTCATCGGAGAAACGATCCCTGTGGGTGCTTGTCCCGTAGTGCGTGCTTATCTTTATCGTTGGGCTTCCAAGAAGCAGGCGAGGTCGATTAGCTCCACGGCGGCCACTGAAAGGCCCGCTGCCGAAAGCGCCCCTCGATGTGCAGTATGCGACGCAGGGGGGAATTCAAGAGGCATTGGATCTAGAAGAGCCGCCTGCTGGATTCCTCCTGACAGATTCGTGATCTCCTGTCGCGAACGCGTATTCCGCCGCGCCACGCATCGCATAAAATGATTTGATTCCATCCCTGAGTCGCATCAGGGAGGCGCGTGTAGGCTGGCAGAAAACAGTAAACAGCAAAATTATTCGTAGTGGTTTGTCTTGGGTACCTGATGCCAGCGTGGTCGCGGATCCGCCCGCCAGGCCAAACGATAATCCATCGAAAATCCATGATCCGATCAGGTCATGTTCGATCGATTTGCGTTCGGCCGCGAGACCGACAATCGCTGCTTCGCGCTGCTTGTCGCGGCTTGTTGCGGCTTAAGGCGGGCCGCCGTGCTGCGGCCTCCCGGCCGGCGGAAATCTAGAGTTCGCTATGATTGCCGCCGCTGCCATTGGCGCTCGGCCCCGGCCTGTCGCGGCGCCGGGGGCCGCGAGCAAGGCGTCTGCTCCGGCGCCTCCGCCGCGCCGGCCGCCTCCAGCA